TAGAAATTTTCTCAGAACCTGCTATATTGTAGGTTAAATATTATATGTATTATGAGATTCAGTATCTGCTGGAACTAGAAGGAAATAAAACATTTACAGAAAGAAAAAAAAAAACTGAGAAGTTTAAATCGAACTATTAACTGTGGTGTTTCTCTGCATAAAGAATTATGGAATTGAAATAGTAATTATGGACTGGAAAATACGAACACATTAACGTTTTTTATTTAGAAAATTTGTTCATATACCATATAAATTGCACTTGACTTTTATAAATGGATCTATTAAATCTGTTTAGTCCTAGCTGTAGTATTAGGAGGAATGAAAGGATAGATACTACTACGTATTTTCAACTGTATGAAACTGTGCTCCTAATAGGAAGCTCCTTCATCATAGGTGAAGGGCAGATAGCTTTTTTTTGAAGGGTTAGCATCTTCGTTTAGAGCATGATGCAGCCAAGTAAAACTCCATTTACCTTATTAAGCAGTGCCAGCAAATAAGCATGAGGTAGCTCTACTGCCTCTCTTTTTCCTCTTCCTCCAAGCATAGTTCAAAAATAAAACCACTAAAACTGTACTATAAGGTTCCCAATTCTGTAGGTATATTGATAACATTTATTCTGGGCTTCAGCTGCATTTTAGTTACTGCTCTGGCTATTTTATGGATCCCCAGAAGGCTAAAGGAGGAGATAAACAACTCATTTTTCATTTGGTAGCAGTTCTGGAAATGCCCAGAAGTGTTAACTGTAACTGTGTTGGAATTTTAAGATCAGAGAGGAATTAATTTGGGGAAATGAAGAGGTCGCAGGGTGAATGGCTTTGGGTCATAGCTTTAGATTAAGATCTCAGAAGCTTCCAAATCATCTTGTTTTATGGAATTAAAACTTTATTATCTGTCATTAACAATGTAAATCAAAGCAGAGAAGATGTCTGTAAAGAAGGTGGCCTCCATTACTTCATTTTTTTCATGCTAGGACAGTAAAGCGTTCATTGTTTCAGTTACAGCCAGGTCAATGATGAAGAAATTGCATAAAAATAAACTATGAATAATCCGAAGGCAAATTTCCAGCTGCTGCTAAACGTCTTCCTTCTATCTCATGGAAAAGTAAAGCTGTGTGCTGACAGTAATATATAGATGCATGTAAACAGATATGTACATACAAACACAACACAAGCTTTAGGCATCTTCAACTTTTTAATAAATACCTTATAATATGCTATATGAAATGCTATTATCAGAGGTATCAAAATTTAAACTATTCTAAAAGGTGAGCACAAAAGCTGTACAGGTTGACTAGGATATGGTGATGAGTTCACAATCAAGATCTTCTTTTTCTGGTGTATGTGCCCAGAAATTTTGAGTGCTCATTCAAGGAAAACAGTGTTCTTTTATGAAGTAGCATTTATTTAGTTAGATTTTACTGTTATTCAACTCTGATTTTTTTTCTTCTACTGATAGCTGTTGTGCTAATATCTATCAAAAAATGTAATTGCTTTTGGTGTGTCTGCATTGTGTTAGAACATTTTCTGGTTCCTTTTTTTTAATCAATTACAGAGACTGCATTTTTGACAGGAGATAATGTCACATAGCACTTGGCTATACATATTCATATATTCCTTTGGAGAGTAGAAGCAAATCAGCTGTTTTTCTTCATTTATCTTACTGGGCTCTCAAAATACAGACTAAAAAGCACTCTCTCTAGAAAAGCCTGTAGAAACTTTAGTTCTAAGCTCTTCAGCATGATTTATTATGTGCACTTTTGAATACAGTTAAATAAATAAGGGTCAAGTAAAAATATGGAAATGCTATGCAAGTTTAATTATTGATAAAATTGTAATTAGCTTATGAAGCAGTTATGGAAAATTGTGCTAAGCACTAGTACGCATTAGAATAAACAATCCAAATAATGGAAAAGGAAAAGTTTTGGACATGACAAAGTACTCAGTTGATCAATCAGGAAATCCTTCGGAAGGGTCATCAGCCTTCCTCTCATCTTCTTTCAAGGCAAATGTGCTCAGTAGAACTGCTATTCTACAATGTAAATTCCCTGATGCAAAGCTGAACACGGTGGAATGTGTGCTTGTACAAATTTTTATGAATGTTTATGTGTATGTATGTATATATCTGTACATTTTTTGTAAGAGCCTATCATTAAAAATAAAAATATAAATGACGTTTCATTTTTACTGGAGAAGTGAGATAATAACTAGAAAAGATTGTTAATATTTATTCATACCTACCTGATATAGAACAAGGTCTTAAGTTCTTACGTATTTGCAACTGCTGTTATACCCCTACTCACTAAACTGTATCATCTTATAAGCTTGTAAATCCTCAATTTCAGACTGGTTTTGGGATGCTTCACCTATAAAATCTAGCTGTAGTTGTGTCTGACTAGTCTTCATTTTCTCAGTATGTTCTTTCCATGATGACATTAGTGTCTTCAGCTCTGAAATGCATTTTGTTGTCATTGTTGATAAGGAAAATGAACTCTTCACAGCTCTTCTGCTATAGCATATCTCCTAATTTTAGAACTAAATGTGTGTTAGTGGGGGGTGGTTCCTGTTCTCAGTTGTTTTTTGTTTTTTTTTCTATCAGTACTATTTGAATAGATAAAAGGAAAGCTTTGCCAGAATACTGTGTAGGCTGGAAGTTGTATCTTGAAGAGCTTGCTAATGATGAATAAGTAATTTGCATCTGCCCTCATCACTCTATGATTCACCTCCATGTCTTCTTATCCTAAACTGCTTATTTCCTTTTCAAACAAGTGGACCAACGTGAGAGGCTTTAATCCAAAGTAATGATGACGCAGGCATTAGTTTTTCTTTCTGTAATGTATAGGTACTAGCAGAAAGGTAACCACTCATTAGAACAGATACTCATATCTCAGATTTAAAGTGATGCTTATTCAAAATCATGGTTTTTTTTTTATTATTTTGTTTTTTTTCCCCCAAATGAAGGCAAATTAATGTAGAGATCTATACTTACACTGCAATATATGTATACATATACTAGTCAAATGGAAATGCTTACATGGAAATTGCAAACAAACTTTGAAATTGAAGAGTTAAACCAGAAGAGAAGTTTCAAAGAACAGAAAAAAAATTGTTTTCATTCAGTTTTTAGGAATATACAATTCATCACATACGCTGTGGACTTTTTTCCATCAGTTCAGTTTTACATGAAAACATTACAGTATGAGTCCAAGTGAATAAAAAAAGAAATAAATAAACACAGAAGTATTTTTTGCAAATATTTTAAATGTATAAACGCTTGTAATAATAAAATATTTTTATTTAGGCTGCCTTCTAATTTAGAATGGCAGATGGTCACTGCTCGATAGAGTACACATTGAAACCTGTTAGGGAACAGTATGAGAAAGCGCTGTGGATACTCCACCTGTTTTAATCATATATACATCTAAAATTTGATTAATCCTACCCAAGACTGATATGTTAAAAATAAAATAAAAAATCAATTATGTGTTCTCAGCATGATCAGGAACATGAAAGACGAGAGTTAAATGGAACATAGAATACTGTGGATAAAAATAAATCTTTCTGTTAATAATTCAGCTAAAATGGTTTAAAAATTCTAAGGGAATAAAAGAACTTTTTTATGAAAATAAGGTTATTGGGCTTTGTAAACAATGAAGGGAAAATACCAGCTCTTTTGAAGTTTAAAATTATAATCCTTCAATTTTAGGTCATTACAATGAAATATAAATAAGTTTCAAAAGTATTGACACAAAAATAAGATTGAAACTCTTTACGCACTTCATTGTGTATTAAATTTTTATTTTAATTTTTACTTAGCCTGAAGCAATTTTCCTTTTCAATTTTTATAAGAGCAATTGAACAGCACATGCCAGTAATCATACAGTTCTACTGATGAGTTTTTCGTCCAGATTCATTTCAGCATTCCTTTTTAAGAAAACGTAATCTTAGTGTGCTACCAGTTGACCAGAGGTGAGCTTGAATGTACATTGGATCGTTGTGAAGATGGCATGACTAGTGTTTTCTGTAACAAAACCAGCAATGTAAACCCCTTGTAATTGCATTTCTAGCAGACTTGGAGTCTAAAATAAAGAACTCAAGCATCAGCAGAAAGTCAAAACCATTTTTTTCCTCACTACCTTTTCAGTATACAAGCTGCAAATAAGTAGGTTTTTAAGAACGTAAAAGAACTCTACCACATTTGCAAAATTAAAAGTAAAAAATGAAATAAAATGAGGTATAGAATCATAGTATGCAGAAAAGTAAGACTGTTGTGTGCATTAGTCTATCAAAACTCAGATAGAATAACACTTCTAGCAATCTTGTCTCTTAATATTCATGCAGGAACTTGGTTTATTCAGATTGAGTATGCAACTTCAACTTTGCTTTTTCATAATACTGTGTAATGTGTGGCCATAATTCACTCAATAAAACATGATTCTAGGGAAAGAAATTGAAAAGAAGGCATGGTGTTATAGGTATTATATACTTTCAGAAAAGTTTACATGTCTTTTTAAACTATCCACAGTTACTTAGGCAAGGTTTACCTGAATTAGTGATAGTTATCAATATTAAAGTGGGGGATTCTTTTTTGCCCAAGGTGAGCGAGTCAGATGAATTTTTAAACACAGTGTGATGTTAGCTTTTGATGGAAAATTCCAGTTTTATTATATGAATCTATTTGCAAAGGTACTCTTTTCACTGGTAGGGATACATTGTACTTCTAATGGTGTGAACTGTGCTTTACATGACAAAATATATGAGTATGTCAGTTATTGTAGCGTTTGTATGCAGGTCATTTTTCAGCATCTGCTTTTCAATAATGGCTTGCAATGAGAATGATTGTAGTAGCTTCACTTCAGTGGAACATCATGATTGATGCTATATCAAAGAGAACATGGAATCTCCTAATGACTTTAATAATGTCTATTTCTTTGTGGAATTTCTTTTCATTTTCTTAAAACAGTGGGAACATTACTGATTGTATAACCTTATCCCCTGTCTTAGGTCTCCTAGAAACCCTGAACAGAAGATCATTAAACGAGTGATTGCTCTTGAAGGAGACATTATCAAGTAAGTGTTTTAAGCCATAGCATTTGAGTCTTTATAAGAATAGTGCAGCTTTTCAGTGGATTTTAAATTAGTATCCTAGACAACAAGAACTTTCTAGTATTTTCTGTCTCCTTTTAAAAGGGATGTCAGTGTTGTACCTGTCTCCTTTTTAATGAGAAAAGTGATACGCAATAATACTCACTCTTGTGAAATGTTTATGGGTGCAAATAATGCTTGTTTCTTAGAATATCTGTAACATATCAGGACAGGTAATTGTACAGCATTTTTAAAATAAGAAGGCTATGATTTTTCAGTTAGAGAATTAGAGCTGCTGTTTCATACTGTGGTTGGCACACTTTCTGAGTTCTTTTAATCTTTTTGTTTGTTTTGGGGAAATCCTTTTGTTCTTACTTAATTTTTGAGACAAAGGACCCTCATAGATGACTGCTTTAACTGCAGTCTATGGGAATCTGTAGGGAATACAGTGGAACTGATTTGGAGTAAATTGTTCTATCAGAAGAGAAAAGAAAGCAAAAAAAGTAGACTTTAATGTAGGTCAAGTCTTGGTTTACTCTAACAGATAGACCATCCTACTGGGGCTGGTTGGAAATAAATTACAAATAGAAGCAAATCAGATGTTTTTGTGGAAATGGTGCCATTTTTATGAAAACATTTGTTTAAAAGGATTTATTTTTCCCAAGTAGAGAATAGAATTGGCATTGAGTTTGGAGGGTAAATTGCTAGTTTCCCACATTAAGATATGAATAACTTTGAAAACTCTTAGGCAGTATGGCAGACTGGTACTCAGTTTATTTGGATAATAATTCTTGCTCTGACGTAGTGAATACTTAAGAAGTACTTGGAAGTTGAAATTCAAATCAAGGATCTGAGTGTGGCCTCAGTGAGCCCTGCTTAACAGCAACAATGTTGGGCCGTGGAGTATTATGAGATATGTCTGTGTCTTTTTTTATTATTATTGTTTCTTTTTGCAGTCCATATGATTTCTGTTTTATTGAAAAATTTCAAATCCTCTTAGTTTGAGCGGAAAATTCAAATACTTCATGTGGAAAAAAAGACTGAAATAGCAAAAATTAAGAAAAAGAATCTGATGTCCAAAAACTATGAAGATCTACAGCTACAATTAGCTATCACATTAAAGGGATAAAAACATAGAAATAATGATTGCTACTTAGTCATGTCTTGTGAAAACCTACACACTTAAGACAATAATATATTATTAATATATTTGCCTGAATTTTTGAAACTCAATGAAATTTTTGATAATATGAAATATATTAAATAACATAAATTTCAACTGTAGTAAATTTATTATGCTGTATATTCCAGAGCCTTAAAACTTTGAACTATCTGTTAACTTATGTGAGTGCTCTTGGCCAAGTGGAAAAAGATGTTGGAGCATAGTAGCTGTGAGAGTGCATGCAGAATATTTTAAAAACTGTATGTTAGTGTGTCGCCTTCGATTACAGAAGACTGAGTGATGATCCTCATTTGTATTCGGAAAAAACAGGTTAATTTATTTTTAGAAATGTTGATACCAGTAATTCAAATATTTATATATATTTCTATTTAAACACATGGAAGTTGTCCCACAGTCTTTTGCTTCATCTGTAGAGGCTTGTTTTTAGATAAGGAATATATTATTGGGCTATTATAACTTGTTATACTGTTGTCCACTTGTGTGCATGTGGGAAATAAAGTAATGCTTGCCAGGCATCATAGTGCCAGGGTAAAGCAAAAATTTCGGTAATAAAATAGCAAAACTGTCAAGATTATTCTAAAATAGATGTTATTTTTCTAATGGTACCACAAGCAAGTGTGTGACTGGGATATTTTTGATTAAAACAGATGACTAATCAGACTAAGAAAACATAATTGTAAGAATTTGACTTCTGTTTGATATGTCTGAAGACAGTCTTGATGGTGGTGATATACAGACTTGTGCAGTTGTACTTTTTCCCTGGAAGGTCAGTGAAATGTATGAAGTCTGTCTTTTTCTGCAAATTTTGATTGAAGTCAAATGACGGAATTAATTAATGCACACTTTCAGTGGTGAGTAGACTTTCATAGTGGAGAAATCTATGCAAATAATGATTTGGAAGGAATTTTCATTTAGCGCTCCGCTAGATAGGTGATAGACAATATGGTTTGTGAGTCTTTGGTAGTGCTTTCATAGCTGAATGAATTTTTTATTTTATCTATTTGATGCATGATTAAGGATAATTTGTCACAAGAAAGCTGTGTTTTCTTACTCTATTAATTAAAATAAGTTAGTATTTACTATTCATTAATAACTGAAAGTAAAGAAAGACCACATAGAGCCATTAATATTGTAGAGAAGGTTCCTTGTATTTTGACTTATGTTCAGAAGTTAGTAGTTCACAGTAGAAAAATTCAGTTTTTCAGTTCGTTTCTAAACGCATTATATAAATGAAGAAAGAAAAACTACATTTTGAAAATAATAAAGTTCAACTTTTTGAAAATAAATTTAGGTGAGACATTGCGATGGGTTCATTCTGACCTTTCACTTTGTGTTTTTCAGAAATTATGTGCAACACAGTACTTCAGTTTTTGAAGTATATTATGATAGATTGAAAAATGGTACATATTTGTTGAGTAAGAATCCTGGCATTTCAATTCTCTGATCTTATTTCCAGTTTAGTTGGCAGTCCAATTGAAATGTATTGAGTACTGTCATGAAAATACCTCAAATATCATAGTACATTTTTATAAATGTACATCTCATAATTCAATTTGAATAAGCTACTGTAACATCCGCCTGATGGGAACTGAGAGAGAAGAAAATCACCATTTAGCCTTTGAGAGGTGAAGCTATAGGTCAGCTTGTATACAGATAATGTTGCAGTGTGGATCCCATAAATCAGGTTTTGTTTTGTCTTAGATGGATTCATGGGAGAATTAACTTTAAGTAGGAAATCATTACAGTGATTCCTGAAGAGTATTTAAATTATAATTCTGCCAAGGGAGACTATATTTTAAAAGTTAATATAATGTAATTTGTTTTAAAAAAAGTGGGTATTATAAAGCACTTTGAATATTTTGAAATTAAACATATTAAAACTCATTTATCTTAAATGCACCAGTGGAAATTCAAAAATCTATAGTAATCTATCATGGATGGCTGAGTTATGGTATGTTTTCAGTAACACAAATAAATGAAGGTTTATGGTATTAAAATTGGGATTGAACTAATGAAATTTAAAATTAAGTCAATTCAGCAACTTACTGAACTAATTTTGCCTCCATCTGGGTCCACGTCTGCAAGAGTTTGGATTCTGCTTCTTTACTGGCTTTATTTTTTTCGTAACACTGTAGCTGGATTAGAAATGACCTGTGAGCACCTAAAATGCATAATTCTAAAATATTATTAGGCTATTTAGGAGTTAGTGTTTTAAATACTGAATGGTTCAGCAAAACAATGTTGCATTTTAGTGCTATATTTTGCAAAATTGTTCTGGAGATATGAATAAGGAGATATTTACTTGCTTTTTCTCAAAGCTTGACAATGCAGAGATGGATCATTATATTTTTGCGCCGTAGGTCCAAAATAAGTATCAGTATCTTTTTGAATTTTGCTGTGAAGTGTATCATTAAATTGAGAAACATTTGCCACAGAATATGAAGGATAAAAATATAAATGAGTTAAAAAAAGGAGTAAAGAATTCTTAGAAATAAAGTCTATCAGCAGCTATTAAATGCAGTGATCACAGTATAAATTTATGTACTTCTATTGTCAAGTTCATGCACTTATTGGAGAAACCTTTCAGCTTCAAAGGAGCTGTTCACAACTCCATGCAGTTTTTGCGCTTGCTATTTTTTTTTTTCTGAGAGATTATGTGTATTCCAGTATTCCTCAATTAGAAAAAAAAAATCTGTTTTTTTCTCTGATCTAGTTACATTTCATCAGACAGTTGTGACTATTCTTGTTTTCACTAAGATGCAAGAATCACTGTCCAATAAAACAGACGTTTTCATGCAGATTTTCCCACTTGATAGATCATTCCTAAAAAAAACTGTGTGTGTCCTTGGAAACAGGATATCCTTCAGGAAAACTAAAACTTTGTCTTTTGTGTTTGTGAGGGGATAACCTGCTGCAGATGAGCTCTGCAGAGGATCTGAGGGTTCTGGTGGACAACAGACTGGCCATGAGCCAGCAGTGTGCTCTTTTGGCCATGAGGGCCAGTGATATCCTGGGATGCATTAAAAGAAGTGTGGCGATCAGGTCAAGGGAATTGATCCTCCCCCTCCTCACTGGTCAGGCTGCATTTTGACTACTGTGTCTGGTCCTGGGTTCCCCAGTTCAAAAAAGATATGCATCTCCTAGGAGTCCAGCAGAGGGCTTCCAAGATGATAAAGGGCCTGGAGCATCTCCCATATGATGAAAGGAAGAATAACCTGTGTCTGTTCAGCCTGGGAAACAGAAGACTGAGAGGGGATCTGATAAATGTTTATAAATATCTAGGGGAAGGTAGGAGGCAAATGGATGAAGCCAGGATCTTCTAGGTGGTGTGTAGTGCTAGGGCATGGAGTCTAAAACTTGTACAGAGGAAGTTCCATAGTAACATACTGAAGAACTTCCTTATGGTAAGGGTGACAGAGCACTGGAAGACATTGTGCCCAGAGAAGTTGTGGAGACTCCTCTCATGGAGATACTCAAGACCTGTCTAGATGCCTACGAATGTGACCTATTGTGGGATACCTGCTTTAGCAGGGGGTTTGGACTCAATAATCTCTTAAGGTCCCTTCCAACCCCTACAATTCTGTGACTCTGTGTTCTCTTGCAAGAATGTCTCTATCCTTAGCAGCTTAATGGCAATCAATGGGCAGGAGCTGCATCAATACCTTTGCCATACAGGCTATGTTTATAGTTATTCCCTTCTTCAAATTCATTGTCATGTTGGCTTGTAAGAATCGATTTGTGAGTGTGGGGACTCACACGGACAACTGTGCTTTAAAAAAAATCAACAGAAAAGAGAATAGGG